GCCAAGAGCTGCTCAGGGGGTGCATTAGAGTCACTTGGAGGTGACATGAAGTCGTTTAGACAAGTTTTGGAGCTGTTCAGAGTTGTTTGCAGGAGTTTTAGAGTCATTTAGAGCTGTTTGTTCAGGGAACTTCGGTGGAGCTTTGGGACTTTCTAGAGGGGCTTAGAGGCGTTTTGAGAGGTTTCGAGTCCTTTAGCGCAGCTTTCAGAGGACTTGCAGAACAGCTGGAGGGCCTTAGAGCACTTCAGAGCCGTTGAAGAGTATTTAGAGGGGTTTTGCAGGCTTCAGAAGAATTTTAGGCTGTCCTAGATGTGGTTTAGAGCTGCTCAGACCCTTTTAGTGCCGTTCAGAGGAGCTGCAGAGTGACTTGGAAACGTTCAGAGGAGTTTAGAGACGTTACAGAAAACATTAAATGCTGCTGAGAGGAATATTAGAATGGTTTGGAGGAATTGCTGAGGCCTTTTAGAGCTCTTTAGAGCAGCTTAGAGGACTTTGAGGGGACTGTTCAGAGCTTTCAGAGAACAGAGCACTTTAAAGCCATTTCACAGCCATTCAGAGGAGTTTTGGAGTGGTTCACAGCTGTTACAAGGTTTTTTTTTTTTTTTTTTTTTTTTTTTTTTTTGATCCATTTTGAGCAATTTCAGGACTTTGGGAAGAGTTTAGAGGAGTTTAAGAGCTACTCCAAGCTGCTCCAACAGTTTCAGCTTCGTGGTGCCTTTTGGAGCTGGTCAGAGCTATTTAAGCAGTTTAAGTGCGTTAAAGCTGTCCAAAGACCCTGCTAGACATTGAGCAGCTCCAAGCTGTCTGAAGGGGCTCAGAGCTTTTTAGAAGGCTTTTAAAGAATATTTAGAGCTGTTGTGAGACGTTTTAGAGCATGTTAGAGCTGTTTAGTGTTGCAGACTGGTTTAGAGCATGGTAGAGGTGTTACAGAGAGGCTTAGAGATGTTTTAGAGCAGTTCAGTCTCCGAAGTGTTTTAGACCTTTCTGGAGCACTTTAGCAGTGGCTCAGAGCGCTGCAGAGGATTGTTAGAGTGGTTTGGAGCAGCTTAGTGTTTAGAGGAGTTTTAGAACAATATACAAGAGGTTATGGACAAGGGAAAGCCCTCCATATCCTTACCTGGAGGCTACCGAAACGAGTCCCAGGAGGCGCTGAGCCATAGCTCAGTCCAGGTACCAGCCCTCCTGCGCTCTCTCTTGAAAAGCTGGATGCCGGTGGGGGATGCTGCCAGCTCTGACGGTCCCTGGTCCCTAACCCCCGGTGAACCCTCTCCAGAAAGCAAAGGGCGAATCCTCCCCGCTTCCAGCGGGCGCTGAGCCACAGCAGAGATCAGAGGGCAGTTTTGGTGCAGCTCCCTGAGCACCGCCGTAGCCAGCTGGGTCCCCCCCTCCAGAGCCCCTTCGCCACCTCCGTCAAGCCCAGGCTCATGCAGCCCCGCTGCGGAGCCGGCGCCGGTGGGACGGGCGACGCACCCAGCCCTCCCTAGCGATCAGCGCCACCCCGGGAGGAAAGCAGGCCGCTGGGCAGGAATAGTAACAGCTTTTAATCTGACAAGAATTGATACATCATTTCAGACAATACTGTTTTTGCCTCTTGGTTGGGACTTCCTTCACATACCGACAGGGAAAGAGGAACGTTTTCGGGAAGTACAGGTTTCTCCATAGGGACTTTAAAGCATGGTGAATGTGCAAGTCAGTGCTTTGTTTGCTTAAAACTTTTTCCCGGTGCTTATTTACAGTTACAGTACCTCTTTGTGAGCGACAGGAAAAAAGACGATTGTTTTAACTGGGGATCCACGATCCCGAGTTGAGAAAGGCAAATCTCCGATATTTATATATTTATACATATATATATATATATGCTTTTGTGTATACACAGATACATTTCTCTCTTCTTTAAAGTATTAAAAAAATGATCAACCTTCATTCTATAAAAATACCTACTCTACAAGATAGAAAAATTTCCCTCTCCAAGTATACACTGATTTACACCCAAAGCTTCTCTGGAAATGTACATTACGTGGCTTCTTCCCGCACGCCGGGGAGGCAGGGAGGGAGGGGGCAGCGGCTGCCAGGGGACAGCTCGGTCTACTCTCAAGGCTGCAGGAGAGCTTGGTTTTGGGGGCCGCGCTACAGCGGGGCAGAGGA